AAATTCACCAAAGTAACAAATCGAGGCTGCTGTCGATCCCATATCTGCATTAGGAAACATTATTTGTTAAAAAATTATAATTAGGGGAAAAATGGGGAGTAAAACTGCCTGTTCGGACGTTCGGGCCGGCTAGATCCGTCTGACTCGGACGTCCAGATCCGGTCGGCTGGATCCAACCGTCCAGGTCGGATGGATCCCGACGGTCCGGACTTCCTGGCCGGTGTTTCAACATGCATTTGAATTTTTTTCTCGTTTTTGTTAAAAAAAATTATAGATCCATTTAAGATCGTAAATTTTTTATCTGTCTAAGTCGAAATAAGATTTAAAAATTAAAATAATGTACTAATTTAACTAAATGAAATTAAAAATACATAAATATACTTACCGATTCCTAGTGATAGCTGTGAATAATATTTTCTTGTTGAACGTTTGATAAATTTATCTGTTTTCAAGTTTGAAGTGGAGGAAAAATGAAACAATTTTTATCTGTGTTGGAGTAAACAGATAAAGAAAGTAGTTTCGAAATTTTAAGTGGAAAGTGTTGGAATTTTTTATAACTTAAAAATGGTATTNGATTTCGAAATTTTAAGTGGGAAGTATTTGGAATTCTTTATAATTTAAAAATGGTATTATTGTCTTTTAAACAATACCCTATTTTTGTAATTGTATAACATGTTTAAGGGTAGTTTTGTGTTTTACGCATTGGAAGATTATTGTGGTGAATGTTTAAAAAATCTGGTCAAAGTGAAAAATAACAATGTTGACTTGACTCATTTGGAAAGTATCCCTTCTCCACACCCCCTTTATCATGTACATCGAGGAAGTTTTCATTCCTTGTATATTTATTTTTGCAGTTAATGAGTCATGTTCTGCATCAATAGTTGACTACATAATTAAACTCTTAATTGATCTAGTTAAAAATTAGAATTTTAGTATATTTTAATAAAAATTAATTAAATATGTTGTTAAAAAGTTAATAAAAATTATAGGTCTATATAATGTGCAATTACAAATGAATTAAACAAAAAATAAAATTTCAAAAATAGCGACCAAATATTACCAAGATTACGAAATTCCAAACCCCAAACCTTGCGGGGTGTACGATTCACACTAAAGCAGTTTTATTGTTTTCACATCCAACAATAGCTTGTTTATAGCTTTGCGGTCCTCAACCTACACAATGCAATCACAAATTAGTTGAAATTAATTTTCCTAAGTCAATAAAATAGTTCGAGTCTTTTTTTCAAAAATCACTTTTCTTAAAATTATTTTTTAATCATTCTCTCATAAAATAATTTTATTTATAAATCTAAATTTTTTTCTACTTTTTAATCTTATATTTTAAAAAAAATTATTTATCCCAAACAATAGGGCTCACATGGGTTAAATGATTACATCATCCACATAAAAATAGAAGGATTTTGCTACTCTGACAAAAAAATTGTAACAAATAGAGTGATATAATCTCAGTTGACAACATATAATTTTATGAGAATTTTAAAATAATTCGTGACATTATGCATCATGTCAACCATTTTTTTTTTTGACGTACGAACCCACAGCCACTGCTGATTAGCGAAAGCTCGACCATTGTGAGTGGGCACCAGATAAATCCAGCTCCACGTACATTAACTCGCAAACCAAACAGAAGAGGTAAACCGCATTGTGCATGTCCAGTGTGACGAACTCGACCGAAAAAGTGTAGACAAGAGATTCGAACTCATCACCTTTGATCTCGGCATTCACGTGCTCCACGAACTCAGCCAACCCAAACCGATCATGACTACCATTATATTATATTATGGGAGCATGATTGAAAATAGAATTACTCGTGTAGTGAAAGAAGAACCATGATCTATATTAATCCTCCATCTCCGCAGATTGTGTGCGACCCTTTTGCCTCAATCTTCTTACTCTCGACCCCTTCCCACTTACAACGATGGATTCAGGCTAAGTACTGGGTCATCATGATCGTCTAAGTGTAACTCTTCTTCTGTATTCATTGCTATCCTACTCAGGAAAACCCCAGTCACGAGGATTGACGAACGACTCACACCTTGGTGAACAGGACACTACTACTGCCATTAGGGTTGCAGAGAGTATTTGTATACTGCGTCACATCAATTTCAGGTAAATTTTTATTTATTTTTTGTCGTTCTACGAATTGAATTAATATTTAGATACCAAATTCTGCGAATTGGCGGCGGTATGTTTTTTGTTCCCAGATTTGGTTGATTGGGTCGATTTCATTTTTCCATTTTTGGCTGAAAAGCTAAACTAGTGGCTTTCAGATCGTTTTGAAACTTGATAATGAAGAATTTTACGGAATTTCATTATTATGTTTTAACTGATTTGTTGTGACAGAATTAATTAAGTGAATGCAGTAAAATAAAAATGATGTGGATTCTTGTGTCCATTATATAGTTGCAATAATTTATACTTGATTTTTAGAACTGCTAATGGATACTGTACCATGTATCCATAAAAATTGCTAATTCTCTTATGAAGTTGTAGAACCACAGAAGTCATCCAGTCTATTTATATTATAGTGCAAGGAAAGATCAATGGCCATTTCGCAATTATCAGGTACCCACACTATTTGGGGAAAACTGACCAACAGTTCACATGGGAACCGAACATGATTTTTCGGATATAGGACCTTATTAGGAAATTCTGTTTCACCTTGCACTTTTCTGTTGAAAATGTTATACGTGCATTCATGGTTGTCTCTGAAGTTGCATTGGTTAGATCGAATTGTGGCTTTGGAATTGGATTTAGAAATGTTATCTTTCAGATCTAATTGATTTTCCATGAATTTCAAGTCCCAGGCTTAATTTAAGGCCACCAAAACATCGCTTAAGTCTATTCATTAATTATTTTCCTTTGTCGTTACAGTCCTACCATATCATCAACTACTTATTTTTTGGAACTGCAAACAAACTCTTTTCGTTGGATCACACATCAAAGTAGTCAAGAGTACTTCAATTATGATTCTCTTTCCACCTGCTTTACTGATTAATCTAGATCTATTGCTGTTTTTCCTTAGTATTGTTATTACTCAATCAGTTATTTCTCTTTTAATTCTATCAAATTGTCTTCTGGTTACTATTAACTAAGGACAAAGTTTCAGATGACGTTTGACATTAGGCTGTGGCACTCATTGTCAAACCAAACCATGCCATGTCTATATATGGTATCTATAGCATTCTTCTTCTTTTTCGACATTTTCTGCGTAAATTGTAACTTTTGAGTTATCTTATTGATCCATATAGATCTATTGGGTGAAAAAAAATAAGGTTGTTACTCCCTCTAAATTTTGAACATTTTGGAATCATTGAAATGCTAAACTTTGGGAGGGTTTGTTGCAGTGATGTGGAAGTTTTTAGAATTGAGTTCTAGAAAATGTATCCGTCCGTGATAGTATACACAAGTCAATAATATAAATGTACAGGACAGTTAAGAAATCGAGAGTGTTGCTTTGAATTGGAAATATTAGATCCTGCAATCTTGTGCTAGTACACTTTGTTAACCCAGTCCGACCTTTTGAGCTGTTCAATAAATGATCGTATGCACATCTTTGTTCTCCATTGCTGTTAACAAGGACTCACTAAAGCTCTTTTTTAAAGTACAAGGAAGTACATGCTTGGCTTCCCCTGCTATTTATGCTATAATGATCACTTTCATGACACTAAAATATGGGGCCTTACACGATTATCATCTGAAACTCCTTTCGATCCAACACTATCAAGTATGACTAATTGAATCAAGCATAAAACCAAACTGGTTATAGTATGCTTACTAGTTCAATATGTATATACAATTTGTGAACTTGTGAATAAAACCTTAATTATTTTGTAAACTAAGCTTTTTTTTTTGATAGGATTTTATTTTGTAAACTAAGCATTATAACATTCTTCCTTCATTCATCAAAAACGGTTTTACTAGTTAAGATCGCACTAAAACTTTTTGTCAAATATAAATACCCACCACAAACAAAGACTTACATACTTTAACAGGGGTTAATCCAAATTAATTGTTTTTCTTATCTTTATGAAATCGCTCCATAATCTTCACTATCGAAATTCAGATGCTTCTAATGTAATTAGCCTTTTACTTTTCAAATGTTCCTCCCTAGGGCTCCTAAATTACCTTTTTGGTTTCCCGTTTTGCTGGCTTATATTTTGTAAAAGCCTCCACACATTATCCTTAATTTCCATTGGAACCTTCTAGTTCGACCATTGTGTTTCTTTATTAGGTAGGTTTTTACCCTTAAAATTTCCTACGACTTTCTTTTCTAGTTCCTAATGAAATGAGCCACTTGATTCCATATTAAGTTATCATTCCATTTACATCTAACTTTCCTTCTTCAAAAGTTTATCCGTTAAAGTCACTTGTATTCAGCCTACTTTTAAAAAATAATATGCACTATTTCATATCTTGAATTACATTATCTTGCTATTTTTTTCTTTTCTCCATACATGTATACTGAAATTTATAAATTGTATACCTAATTTTTTGCCTTCTTTCTTACCTATTCCACATCATGTATGCAAGGTATGTTGACTTTATCCTATGCATCACATCTGCTATTTCTAGGATTCTTTAGCTTCCCTATATTTGAAGTTCCTACTGAGAATTTATTACCTAAATTTACCTTTTTGCCATCCCAAGATTAGTTCTTGGCATATCCAAGTACTGTGTGTTGTTTTTGTGGAAAATAATGTAAATTATTCAGTTTCCTATTTTTAATTGTAAAGCAATGTAAATCTTAGGATACTAATTAGAGCATAATCAGGGATAGTTAGAGTATAATCAGGGATTCCTGATTTTGCAAATTATTTGTTTCCTTTTTAACTAGTTGATCTAGGTTTGTACTAGCCTATAAAGACCTCTGTTTGCTGACTGAATAATACACACTATAATTATTCTCATTTCACTACATGGTATCAGAGCCACTAATTTTTTCTGGGATTAGAATCACTTATTCTTTTTTGGCCTTCATCGCTGAACCTGCATCACATTTCTATTGTTGAATTTGTCTGTTCTTCTGCATAAGATCTTTCAGCCTTCATCGCTGGTTTTTTTGGCCTTTATTGCCATTCTTTTATACATTCAGCCTTCATAGTCGTTCATCCTAATCCTTTCTTCTTTGCATTTACCATGTCTGAGATAACTATGACAACTCAATATGAAGAAGTGACTTCAAAATATTCCTATGTAGAATTGCATAGCCTTCCCGTTGCTTACAAACTCAATGGAAAGAATTATCTGAAGTGGTCACAAGTGGTTAGAACCTTTCTAAAACGAAAGGAAAATTGAGTCATCTTCTCAAAACTTGTCCAAATCCTGAAGATTCAAAGTTTGACGTGCGGGATGAAGACTCTATGGTTATGTCGTGGCTGTGGAATTCAATGTCGCAAAAAATCAGTGACACCTTCATGTTTTTGCCTACAACAAAGGACTTATGGGAAGCAGTTCAACAAACCCACTTAAAGCTTAGAGATGTTGCCCAGGTTTACGATATTTAGATTAAAATTGCTGGTACCAAACAGGGGAACAAATCTGTTACTGAATATGCATCCTGAAGAATCTTGGGCAAGAGTTGGATCACTACAGGTGCATTCAGATGAAGTGTAGCGAGGATGCGGCAATTTTGAAGCAGTTCATTAAGAGGGATCGAGTATATGATTTCCTACCCGGTCTTAATGTGGAATTTGAGCAAATTTTAGGTAAAGAAGTGCCATTGTTAAATGAAACCATCTCGATGGTTCGAGCAGAAGAGAGTAGAAGTGTCATGCTTGAACCTCAAGCATTGGATGGGTTGGCGATGGCAGCCATTGGCGGAAACAATTGGTATTGGGGAGGAAGTCCAAATAAGAAACAAGCTAATAATCAAGGACAACGATCAAGTGCAAAAAACAGCGGAAATTCTTTTAGACCTTCATTCCATGACAACAAGGACAATCTATGGTGTACTATTTATTGTAAAAAATAGCGACATGAGAAGGAATATTGTTATAATTTAATCGGAAAGCCTACTAGCAGAGAATGGGAGATATAAAGGAGGACAATCAAGAAATCAAGGACAAGCTCACCTAACTACTAGAGAATTGAACCCAAAAGCAAAATCAGATATGGTAGAATTTAATAAGGAGGAGGTTGAGAAGCTGAGAAACTTGTTGGGGACCTTCGAGAAATCGTCAGATATATGCTCTTTGGCGCACTCAGGTATATTGGTCACTTCTCATGGATTAAATGTCCCGAATATACCATTTTCCAACTCTTGGGTCAATGACTTAGGAGCCACTGATTACATGACCAACCTATCACAAAACCTGAACACCTACACTCCCTATCCTAGTAATAGAAAAATTGCAACAGCCGATGGTTCATTGACCGCTATAGCCGGTTCAGGAGACATACAACTCAGCCCCTTTCTTACCGTTAAAAATGCCCTCCATGTTCCAAAATTGTCAACTAACCTTTTACAAATAATAAACTCACTCTAGACATGAAATATAATGTTGTGATTTATCCCACTTACTGAACATTTCAAGACTGGGATTCGGGGAAGACGATTGGACATGCAAAGGAGAAGTCATGACTCTACTATCTTGATACACAAAGCAGCCCCGAGTATTATCAAGACTAAAGTACCTCTGTCGTTCCTTTCCGAAACTCTTTCAACTAACAAAACCAAGATTTGGCTTCACCATCTCCATCTTACCCTTCTTTCCAAGTTTTAAAATTAATGTTTCCTTCTTTGTTTTAAGGATTAGTCATTGATAGCTTTTACTGTGATGTATGCGAACTTGTAGAACACAAATGTATGTCTTTTCCAATAAGCGATAAAAGAAGTTCTATTCCTTTTTATTTAGTTCATACCGATTTATGGGGTCCTTTCACTACTCCTAATGCTCTTGCCGCACGGGGGTTTGTTTCGTTTATTGATGCACTGGGGTTCCCTAACTTCTATAATATGATCCAAAATTAATTTGGGGTCAAAATCAAGAGAATTAGGTCAGATAATGCAAGAGATTACTTCAATCAGGTTTTATCTCCTTATTGTCAAGAAATAAGGCATTATTCATGAGTTATTTAAAACCCCTATGGAAATACTCTCAGTTTTATTTAGATCTCGAAACTACAAACAATCTCACTCGTAGGGTATTCAAGTGCACCTGTGCAGTCATAATTGGGGAGGCTAGGCCCAAGGGCACTCAAGTGCATATTCATTGCGTATTCCTTAACTCAAAAGGGGTACAATGTTATCATCCTCCAACCGGAAAATTCTATGTTTCCACAGTTGTTGCCTTTGCCGAAAATCACCCCTATTTCTCCACTCCTTATCTTCAAGGGGAGATCTCATTTCTGGAAGATAAGGTTAGGGATTTCTTCTTGCTAGAGTTATCATCATCATTGATTCCAATGATCTTCCCCGGTTCATAACTCTAGATCCATGCCTTACCCAACTAGTGAAATTGTGGTTGAAGATAACATTATTTTTGATAATGTTTGACTGTTGCAAGTGTACTCAAGAAGCGAAAGTTTACTACCAAAACCCGTGCAAGTACAAGAGTCTGACCTAACTTCTGGAATGACAACTCCTACGCTTCATATTGAGAAATCAACTCTGTAGCACGGACACTTCAATCAGGGTAACGTGTGTCGGACACGAGTCGATACCGACACTTCTCGGACACTCTATCGTAA